AATCCACCCTCCACAACAGAGAGAAGGAGAGGTGGAGTCTAGAAATGTCTGGAAGGAAACATTCCAGTTTTTCCTTTTTAAATAACTTCTCATGTTCCACTTCTCTGGGTTTTTTTTTTTTTGCTCACTATCTCACATTATAAACTACAGGAAGTCAGACTCAAATGCTGTCCTTCAGTGAATCCCTGCCTGGTCTTTTGGTGGAAAACATAGAGACTTAAGATGCCGAAACACAACAAAACTAATATCGAGCTCTAAAAGTCTTCCTCACAGGCAGCTCTCTGTGCCCTTCACAGATTTAACTCCCTATGGTTCAAACCACCCTGTTGACAATTTCAGACCAAATGCTCAGTCCCACGTGGTGGGCCATGGCACCCGGCTGCCTGCTCCGGCAGGGGGGCTGCCAGATCACCCTGGGTTTCAGGAGCTGGCTCGCCTCCCCTTGTTTACCGGCTCACTAGCATTTTCTCCCTTTAATAGCAAGGCAGCCTGGCAAGCCGCGTGACTTTGCGGGGACCAGGAGCCCTCTGAGCGCCGGGAGGTTTCGTCTCATGTCCCAGGTTGCTGGCTGGCGGTTTTGGACTGAGCTCCCTAAAAGCCAGCCCAGCCCTTGCTGCTGCCAGTCAAGTCCTGGCAGAAGGGCAGCCCCTATAAATAGCCATTTGTATAATGTCGCCTCTCTTCTTCACTTCTTTAGCTGCAAGTTTGCCCATGCCTTGCAGCATGCAGTGCTTTGCACACTTGAGTCTCCATCCAGATACATGTCCCCAGACCCACAAGGAGAGATTCTCAGTCCTCAGCAGCCTCCAATCCTTAAACCTCATCCTCAAAGCAACCATGGTCACCACTGTGGTGTCCCCTCCAGAACAAGGACTTGCCATGGCAGCAGGGCTGGAGCAGGCAGTGTGGAGCTGCTGGCCACGGACAACAAACTTCTGGGGTCCCACAAGCCCAAAATGCTGGTAAGCCCCAGGTTCTGCATGTTGGGGCAGTGGGTGGTCTGTGTCCCCCGCAACTCCTTTCCAGGGGTGACGGAGATGGATGAAGAGAAAGCCCTGGAGCAGGGGTGCAGCTACAGATGCCTAGGACAATGCTCATTGCTGTTTTACAGAGCAGATGCAAAGAACCAGGGGGGATGCCACCAGGCTGACATACCCAGGTGTTAGTGCAGGTAATGATGGTGGTGTGGCATTGGGCTGGGCATCCATCAGCAATTTCTCCTGGCATGGTGCAGCTGGGTGCACCTGGGACAAGCTACCCTGCTCTCAGACAGGACAAGAATCGCATGGCACCGAGCATCCCACCATCCTGCTCCAGGACAAGACTGCTCTCAGCCACAGGACAGCAGTATGAATCAGAGTAGAGCAGGGCTGGCAGGGCAGGAGCCACACTGCAGAGCCTGGGGTTTTTGCTACCTTCTTTTCACAGCGCGGGCAGCCCAAGCTGTGACCATAATAAACAAAGCGACAGCCAGAGAGCAGAGCTCTCTGGTTTCCTGTACACCTCAGGCTGGCCAGGGTAAACACACAACAAGCCTGCACTTCAAAAGGGGCCATGCCCACGGCACGTCAGCCAGAGCCCAGCCACGCGCCAAGTCAGCGTGAGCAAAGCCACTGAGCAGGAGGCTTCACAGGACAGGTCCCACTCATGGCAAAAAGGCTGGTGCTGACCAGCACAGCCCCACTGCACCATGACGCCCCACACTCAGCAGGCACCTGCACCTCTGGAAGAGTCACCTGTGCCTCTGGGATGCCAGGGACAGTCCCTGGGGCTGGCCTCTGGGGCACGTGTGCACCTTGTAGTTACCCTGGCCCCAATCATGCCCAGGCTGCACAGCCATGGATCATCCTCAGACAGGCGGCGCTGCGATAGGCATTGGGACAGGAGAGCCTCCACACCACCGACCAGCCCTTCACGAGAGGAGATGCACCTCGTGGCAGTGGCCTCTGCACGGAAACCGTGGGACGGCAGCGCAGCCTGCAGATGCGCTCATCTCCAGTCTCCATAATCCACTTCCATCCATCCATCTGCTCCTCTCACACCAGCCAGGCAGCAGTCGAGTAAGTGCTAACTCCGCGCAATTGAGGACTGCTGTCCCTGTCCCTCGTCACATCATCATGACGCAGCACCTGCCCATTAGTACAACACATCTCGCTTCAAGTTTGGTCCCATCCCAGCTCTCAAACTTCCAATCCCAAACTTCCCAATCTCTTCACTCAATCCAGCAAATTGGAGTCCAGTTCATGGATGCGGCTGCTTCTTCCCATCAAAGAGCTCAGGGCATCTTTGAGCAGGCACCAGCAGTGAGTCAGGCAAAGCTGTGGACTGGGAGGGAGAGCAGTGCACAGCTCACATGTCCTCAGTTCAGCAGGTCCTGTGTGGGTTTGTGATAGTGTAATATAACTCCCAGCCATACGCTTGTGCGTCCAAGTCTTGACCTGCCTGGACAAGAGCTGGCAGCTCTCTCTCTGGCCTGGTCTCTGCTCAGAAGAGCGGGGGAGGGAAGAGAGACTCTACAGTCCCCACATTCAGTCCTGGGGTGCTGAGAGGGGGACCAGCTGCTGGATGGGATGCTGCAGCCAGCCTGGGAAATGTCCTTTAGTGAACTCTCGTGCCACGGCAGAGTGGTGGAGCTGGGAGGTGCATGGAGGTCATGATCCTCAGTTGAGCCCGAGGATGTAGCAGGGGAAGAGCTGCAACATCAGAGCTGCAGAGTGTGCCAGTCTCACCCTCCCTGTGCCAGGGAGGTACAGAGGAGTCCTGCCCCGAGGACTCCAGGGTGCAGGCAGCCCCTCCGAGCACCCTGTTAATCCAACAGACCCTACACCACCCCTGCCAAATCTGCTCCTCCTTCACCCAACACTGCAGCTCGCTATCTCTGTTCAGAGCTGGTGGCCCAGCGTACTCCAGAGCCCCACCGCCTCCCTTGTCCCAGCACCCCCATGGTGTGTCTGTTGGCTCGAACACCCTGCACAGAGACCCCTCCAAATCAACCTCTCCTCTCGGCTTCCCAACCTCAAGGGTGGCCCCAGCGCTGAGGAGCTGGGGGATTCCCTGGATCCACAGCTCGACTTGGCTCTCCAGCGCAGCAGCGGCGGAGAAAGCAGCACGTGGCTCCCCGCCAGAGCTGGCGCCAAGCAGCCCGGCTCCCGGCGCCCAGCGAGCACCACGAAGCTCTGGGGAAAGCTCAGGGTCTGCTCCCGGGGGAGGACCCATGGCCAAATGCTTGCTGCAGCCCGCCGAGCTCCACTCCTTCCAGAGGGCCTGATCCTGCAAGATGCTCCGTGTTCTTGAGCTCACACGGAGTGCAGAGTGGCGTGGGGAGGCGGGAAGGGGGAATGTGAGAAGCTGGATGGAGAAAACCTCTCTCTGCTCAGGACCAGCCCCTCCTACATCCCCAGGCTCCCAAAATCCATGTGAGCCACTAGCTAAGGGCGGACGTGAGCAGGCTGGTGGGATCGGACAGCTTCTGCAAAGCACCTGAGGGGACACACGAGCCGACTCAGGGAGCGACAGCCCCAGCCCTGGCACAGCCCCAGCGCTTTGTAGCACAAGCGGGATGGATCCGGCCACATGTGGCTGGCGAGGCAGTAGCCCAGGCCACGAGCAGATGTGCCGCACTGGACTATTCCTCGGGCGATGTGGGCACCAAGCCTCAACCACAGCTGAGCGCAACATCCGCAGAGCGGCTGGGAGCCAGTGCGGACGCTGGGCTGGGCAAGCTCACCCCACACGCTGCCTCCACCTCTCCCAAAGTCCGTTATTGTAGGGTTGCATGGGAAGGCTCGGACGAAGGAAAACACCGGTTTATTACTGCAAGGTTATGCAGGAGGTGAGATGACTCACGGGCGTGTTATTGTGAGGTTGCAGAGATAGGCTGGGACGGCAGCAGGTAGCTGGTTGTTATTGTGGGGCTGCAGAGGTGTGCCAGGACATGGACAAGGATCGGTTTGTTACTTTAGGGTTGCAGAGAGGGGCTGAGACCCTGTTTATTCCTGCCAGGATGCGAAGCGGTCTGTTGTTGAAGGGTTGCGGGAGCAGCGCTGCATGGGTGTTGCACGCACGTGGGGCACGTGGTCCTTAACTCCACTAAGGTGCCGTGCCCAGCGGAGAGGGAAACACTGGGTCTGTCCCAGGGCTCCAGCAGCACCAGCCCCAACAGCATCGCCTGGGGTCCCCAGCGTGTCCCGGGGGGATCCTAGACCACACGTGGCCCCAGATGCCAGGGGAGGGGAAAGCTCCCCACGGATCTTCACCAGCTGGTTTCCCGGTTGCAGGCTTTCAACACGTTTTTTTCCTCCTGAAAATTTTCACTGTGATAAAATTGCAAAACACACCCATTTCCAAGTGAAAGCAGGTAGGGTGATGAAGGGGGTGCTGCAAAAGGGGCACGCAAACACGCACCAAAAGCCGTGAGGAGGAACGAGGCTTTTCTTCAGCTGAGGGACTCAAGCCCCGGGGCCGGGTTTCACCTTACGCGTTTCCCATCAAACAAACCACTATAAAAATAAACCCCAAAGAAATGCCCCTCACACGGGTAAGGGAAACTGAGTCACGGGCAGGACCTTGCCTGCCCCGACTGCTCCAGTATGCCGGGAGAGGGGCAGGCAGGGTTGGTCAATGCAAGGAGGCGATGCCCCGCGAAGTGGGGGGGCGTCGAGGGGTGTCTCTGCGCCCCGGGGTGGGGGTCATCATCCACCACCACTGCGCTCCGAGGGGATCCCGAGCCCAGCGCTCCGCGCAAAGAGAGCGGGGAGGGGGGAACGGGGACGGGGGACGGGGGGGGGACACCGCGCACCCCGAGAGGGGACCGCGCATCGCGGGAAGGGACCGCGCACCCCGCGGGGAGAGGTCAGGGAGCCCCCCCGGGTTTGGGGGGGAGGCTCGCAGACAGGAAGCGTCCCGGGGCGGTGGCGGCAGATTGGCAGCGCCCTGCTCCAATGGAGCGGCGGCGGCGGCTCCGGAGGCTTCGCACCGCCCGCGCTACCGGCCCCAGCCAGCCCGGCGCGGGCGCTCCCGCCGCCGGCCCCGCTCCCGCCGCCGGCCCCGCTCCCGCCGCCGGCCCCGGCCCCGCTCCCGCCGAGCGCCATGGACACATAGCCGCGGTGCCACTGCAGGAAGGTAGGGAGAGCGTGCCCCCCGCGGTCCCCATCCCGAGCGGAAAAGGTTCTCCGCCGCCCCGACGCCGCGGCGAGGGGCGTGCGGCTGCGGGCAGGGCCGGCGGCGCCGCGCAGGGGCAGGCGGCTCCCCGCGGGTGTTTTGCTGCGAAGTCGAATGGCGGGGGGGGGGGGGGTGGTTTGGTGGGGGGGGGGGGGTGTTGGGGAGCGATGTGCGTGCGTGTGGGTGAGTCCCCTCGAAAAGTGACGGGCAGGGACTTGGCTTCTCGCTTTCCCACCGACTGACGGGGGGTACCCGGTGCTGCTCCCCCCCGGCGCGCCTCCGCCTTGCCGGGAGATGCTCAGGGGATGGACGGTAGTCCCCGAGGTGGGATTTTTGAGCCCCCATCCCCAGCCTCTGCAAACGCTTCTTTTCCCCCTCCCCCCCCCTTTCCCCCCTCCCCCCCCCCCCCCCGAATTTAGACACCCCCCTGTCTCCGGGTGGGAGTTTTCTGGAGAAAGGCTGGAACTACACCAGGCAAAGCACACCCCCTGGCAGGGCCCCCTCTTCTCCTGGGGGGTCCAGGGAGGAAAAAGCTGCTCCCAATTAGGAGAGGTGTGGAAAGAGGCGCTTTCCCATGCGCGGGCACTGGCAGGGCTCTCTGCCTGCCTTGTCCCTCCTTGCCCCGGGATGCTGTCTGAATTACAATTTCGTCCTGTGCCAGCCCCAGGCTGTGCCCAGTGCCACCCCCACAAGTTGGCTGTGTCACCCCCCCACCCCAGGTCCTCTCCGAGCTCTGGCTCTGGGATGATGAGGGGTGTCAAAGGGGGCTACGGGGCTGAGCTTGGCTCGGACATCACTGTCAGCAAACTGAGACCCCACTGTGATGGGGCCTGGGTATGCCTTGGAAATCTCATTTTCCTTCTGCCTGGTCTCCATGGGGAGACACCCAGAGCTGCAGCAACTCACGGACACGTTGTCATGCCCAAACCAGTGTTGGACCGACCGGCGTTGGTGGTGTAGATGGTGCCGAGCCACTCGGGGCTGGCCAAGTGCTTCAGGGGGTGCCAAGAGGTGCTTGCTCCTTGCAGGCTGCAGCCACGTCTGGCCGCCGCGTTTGCAGGAGGAGGTGGGGTGTTTGCACTCTGCCTGTTTGCAGGTCACAGCGTGGTTACACACCGGGCTGCACAGAGCCCACGACATCCCGGGCTGGCACGGGGCAGAGGAGTTTCACGGGGAGCTGCGAGCTGGCAGAGGTCCCTCCTGGGGCAGGGACAGGGATGGGGCATGGTCACAATATCCCCCCCAGCACCCATGCACTCTCTGTTCCACTAACCTGGCCCTTTTTGGGGGGAGTGAAAGGGGCCATATCTCCTCCCCTGAGAGCTGCGAACTGACCTTGTCAGCCAAAGTGGGACTGGAGTCAAGAGACAGGGGCTGAGCAGGGTTGTGCTCAGGGCTGGACATCACCAGCAGTGGGTGAACAGGAGATGTGGGGTGCAGTAGGGTGGTAGGGAGGGGTCCCTGGGGGGTGCAGCTGAAGGCAGAGGCTGCCTGCAGGAAGCTGGGAGAAGAGCAGATCCATTTTTAGCCTGCCTCCCGCTCCATGAAGAGGAACCTTGCAGGGAGAGGAAAACTTGACTTGATTATATCTGATAAGCCACTTTTTCCCCATCCCAGAGAGCTGTCTCGGGAGCGGGGGGAGGAGGATGCTTGGCTGAGTGCGGGCCCTGTTTGTGAAGGATGAATGAATGACTCACGACGTGGCGAGTCTCCGCGCCATCTTCATCGTGGCAGCAGCAGCAGTTCCCTTTTGCAGCTGCTGGGTTTATCAGAAGCCGCCACGCCGGGTGGGCACCCAGGCAGCCCACACCTGCATCCCTTAGCCCGCAGGTACCCTGTCTCCTCTGTCCTTCTCCCCCAGCTCACCTGGACCGTCCTGAGTGGGGAAACCCCCACAGACAGTGACAGTGTGTTTGCCCCCCTCACCTGCCATGAACTAGCCGAGCATTTGGTTCAGACCCTCTCTTTCTGCTCTGCTCTTGTTCAGAAGCGACTCCAGACTCTTCCTGCGCACACAGGGCTCAACCTCCCCCCCGGTTTCCTGCCAAATGTGTTCCTGGAGAGCTTATTCCCTCGTGGGTTTGTGCCAACATTGTGCTTTTAGTTCAAGACCTCTTCTCCCTCTCTGGTGTTTACCCTGCTGTATTTATAGCTTCCTCATTAGGTTAAACATGCTGAAGGATTCTTGCCGCCTCTTCTCCCGCGGGTTTGGCTCTGGAGGAAAACCCCTCATGAGATGCTTCCCGCAGGAGGGGGCAGGTGCTGGCTTGTGGCTCTGCTTTTCTGCCTTCAGAAAATTTCAGCACCTCTCCCAGCTCGTTTCCCCCTCTTCTTGTTCAGGCATGGGACAGGGTGGCTCTGCCCCTGCTGAAGATACAGCCAAGGACAGAGTTTGGATGGGATGGCAGCTTTTCCCTACGGGCAGTGTGCTGGGGCCTTGCCGGCATTTGGGATGCTGAAACAAAGCCAGTATCAGGAATTAGCCTTGGGATGTCTGGGGTGACTCGCTGGGATGTTTAGAGAGCCTTTGGTTTTTCTAAGTGTTCCTGTGGTTACAACAGCATCGCATGTGTGAAAATCACCAAATCTCTCTGGCCAGGGATGCAGTGACCTTACAACCCAGGTTCTTACCAGCTGATCTCTCTGCAACTCCTGGTGATGGTTTTCTCCTCCCATCCAGGCTGTGAAGGTGGGAAAGGGTGCAGATGCCTTGCAGTTGTGGTTGAGTCGTCTTCTCCTACAGCCAGATTCCCATGGACCATTTCCATGGAAAAAGGAAAATTCCTCTGGAAATTAGAAGCAGGTTTGCGGTGTCAGGGATCAGCGTGTTAATAGGAATTATCTCCCGAGTCTGGCTGCTTCCCAGGTCTCTGACTCACCCTGGCAGGGGAGTGGGACAGGGTGAGCTTCAGGCTCTTTTGGACGGTCACAGCACCCGCAACCCCTGGAGCATGTGCTGGGCTCTCCGGTACAGGCGGAGGGCTGGGCTGAAAGGTGCAATTCTTCCTCGTCTCCAGTGGTATGAATCTGGGACATGGGGAAAAAGCCTGGCGAACCTCTCCTCCTCCCCTGGTGTTTGGGATGGGGGAGATCCAGGAGAAGAGGGACAAGAAGTCTGTCAAGATCTGATTCACCTCCGTCCTACTGGGACCATGTACTGTGGCCACATCTGACCAGCAGAGCTTGGGCTTGCTCCAGCACGGATTGATCATTGCTGAAAAAGCTTACGAGGGATTTCGGAAGCATCTGGCCAGGGGAAGGTCACATCTGCCCTGCTTGCACACGTTTCCTGAGATGCTTTTGGAGAGGACAGGCGGGCTGGAGGGACCTGGGGTGAGACCTGGCATGGCTGGATGTGGGGCTGGCCCGTGCATGTGGTGACGGCCAGGGGACCGCAGGTAAGACCGTGAATTGAACCGGAGAGGAGAGGATGCTTAAAGCATTTTGGAAATCAACCTGGGGCTCCCCAGAGGCTGCTCGGCTCTGGTCCCCGCCTCTCACTATGGAGATGGCCAAAATAGAAACAGCCTATTTAAACGGTTATCAACCCACAGAGTTTGCCTTATAGGGAGAGGTGGAACAGTTTAAGGCATCCCTCATGAAATCCTGATGGTGGAAGGAAGGTCATTTGGGCATCTTCTGGTTTACCCCGCCTCCTAAATTGAAAACAAGGGATGCTGAGCCTTGTTGGAAAGCTGATGCTGGGGACGCACTGAGGAGAAGAAGGGATGGAGAAGCTGCCAGTCTTGGGGGAGCATCATCTCTGCAGCAGCTTGGGGAGGATCTTCTGACTTCAGCAGTAAGGGACTGCTCCTGAGTCCGATCCCACTTTGGGGAGCCCCGAACAGAGCTCAGAGCTGCTGCCTACCATCCTGCTGGCCGCCCTGAGGGGTGTGGATGTCCCCGCAGAGAGCACGTGGGAGGCAGTGGGGCTGGCACAGCATCTCTGGAGCACGTGCCCGCAGGCTGGTGCAGCAGTGTCCGTCCAGCTGTTTCCTTCGCCTTCCTGTGCTTTCACCAGCCCTTTCCTTTGGGACCGAAAACCCCACGCGCTTCATCCTGGCCAGACCGACAGCCGCAGCTGGAGCCGGGGACCTCGCCAGCCCCTCTTTGATGAAGGTCGGCATGGGCATCAATGCCTCTTGAATTCAGTAACACCATGAAAGGCGCGATTCAGCCCTCGCCTTCCTGCAGGAGTAGCTAGGAAAAAACAAAAAGTGCCGTCGTGCAGGGTCTCCATCACGGGCCAGCCCAGCGCTGTGCCACTGTTGCGACAGAACTCCTGACAGCTGTGCTGCAACAGCCCCGCAAAGGTCCCCAGGGATGGCTCGGCCACGGTGGCCTGTCTTGGCTTTGCGAAAGCTGCTGTCACGCAGGGTGCCCAGGCCAGCTGGCATCTCCCCAGACTTTCTTGCAGGGGCAGGGCCAGCCCTCAGCCCCTGGGGACGTCTGCAGGAGCCTTCCCTTTGCTTTCCATGAGTTTTGCCCGAGGCCTCAAGGCTTAGGAGGAGCTGGTGGACCCAACCAGCTATTGCTCCATCCTTGTCTTGCAGGGGCCAACACGCAACCCCAGGGGTTCCTTGTTGCTTCGGCTGCTTTTGATCTTAGTTTCTGCGAGGTTCCCAGGGGGCTGTTTCATAGCTCCCCCAAGGCGGCTCCACCCCATCCCAGCTTTGAGTTTTGCAGCTTTATGGCTGGAGCATGGCTGCACCCAGGGCAGCACCCCTTTTCCCTGGCCTCCCCACTCCCATGCCCAGCTCCATTTCCCCTCTCCAGATGGGACTGTGCCCACATTCCTTGCACCCCAGCACCCAAAAACCAGCCCAGTGCCTCAGGCTCTCTGGCTGCTTGCTCTGTTCCCTCTCCCCACAGCACCAGGGCAGGCAGTGCATGCAGGGAGCAGGATGCAGGAGTGAGCTCCGGAGGGGGCCCATCTTTTGGAGCATTCTGTTGACACAGCT